ACAAATGCACAACTTGACAACAACCGAACACCCTGCATGTGTTACAATAGCTTGGCCGCGTAATCAGGGTGCTAGACGTTATGAAGTACAAAACACCACAATGAAGGCCCTGTACAGTTGCACAGCTGAAGATTTGTGTAACTGAAGAATGGCAGAAAAATTCCAGATCAGTTTGTGTCTTCACTTCCTAAATGTTTATTAAGTACTGTTAAAAGGAAAGGCAGTGCAACACAGTGATAAACATGTTCCTGTCCCAACTGACTAATGCTCCTTAAACACACTCCTGTCCCAGAATTTACAAATCACCACTTCCTGTTTTAATTGGCATTTCACATACTCTCCCAACTTTTTTGGAATTGGGTTTGTAAATATGGTAAGAGGTTTTAAGCCTTTGGAACGATGGCTTGAGTGCATGAGTGTATGACATTATATCTCTTAGTCTCTGTGACTCCTGATATGCGTGACCTTTCACCCGGTGGCCTGACTGTCCTCAGCCCCCGATAGTTTGGATGATGGAGAGGTTATTTTCAGAGTAACCCCTGACCTAAAAACACACCTCATCCCATCTTTGTTCAGCGCGGAAAGAATCTCGTCTGCTGAGGCACGACGGCTGATCTCACATGGCTTGGACTTCTTACAGCAAATGTTTTCAGACCCTGTCACCTACTTTGCTGGGGTGGTGGGGGGCGTGTAGTGAGCTGTGTTGTGTTTGTGGAAAACGGGAGTTATTACGTTCTTTTCCTTTTGACTTTTCCCCTGATTTGTAGGACAGGAAAAGGGGAACAGCTGGACATCTTGTTCAGGTTTTACCTCATCCAATACTTGGCTGGACCCTTGAGTTTCCTTTCTGGAAAATCTATTTTCTCATGATCCCAATCAGTGGAAGGAAAACAAACAAACACAGGAGAAAGGGAAAAAAGAGAAAACGTTGTTTGAACATGATAGCATTTGCCCATGGGATGCTGGGGACCCTTGTACAGACTTCAGGACCCACCCAACTCCTGGGGATCTACTACAAATACAGAGTTTGTTTACCAACAACACAACACGCTTTCAAAAAAATACTGGTGCTAAAAACGGTTCTTTGGAGTGATGCCACAGAGGAACCAATTTTGGCTCCGTAAAGGGCCCGTTGACATTGTTTTAGGGCTTCCAAGTGACACAGCGTCTACATGCTAGTTCTATCGTCAAGTGATCCCCGGTGAGGCCACAGCCACCTGTGTCTGGGAGTCAGAGACAGCATTATTGGCTGGGCTCTCTCTGGGTGTTGAGGGTCACCTCTCCCCGTCACTCATCACCATATTAATTAAAATATTAATTAAAATCTCTGACAGTTTCGGTGTGTATCATGGTATCTCCTCAATCTGAACAGCCACTTTACTGGACTCTCACTTTTATTGTTTCTGTAGTACTCAGTCTCTCTAGTGGTTGGCCATTTATTTGAAGCTTTTCTTTATTTACCTCATCATGAACAAAAACAAACATGGCAGCTGGCGAGATGGATGCTCACCACCTCCAAGACCAAATGAAATGCTGTTTCTAAATGATCCTGTATTTATTTCAGAAGTGTTTTTGTATGTATGATCTTCTAGAAGGTCCCTCTTGTGAAAGGTAAAAAAGATATTTCGCTGATGTCGGAACAAAACCTCCATTTTTATCATTTTTCAGTTTTTGTCATAATTTGAAAATGCCTGTTGTGCATAAATTTCATGATGAATGAACCAAAAGAAATGTCCCAAAATGACTTGGAAAAAAGTCTGGTTCCATTGACTTACATTAAAAGTAAAGCGTGTTTTTTCCTTCTCCTGTAAAGTTACCATTTTGAAGATGCAAGGTTTTGTTTCGATAGCAGCAATTTGTATGTATACAAATTTTCAAGATGTCCAGCATTCTGGACTTTTGGACTGAATGTAGTAAATGATGCTTTAATTAGTAGAATGGGCTCAAAACCATTATCACTTAAGATTTTTGTTTATTTTGTTGAAAGCAGACCCTTTATTTTGGAGTGACAATACGATGTTCTAAAAATTTGGGAATAATAATGTTTTTAGTACAGGGAGATTCACTTGAAAGAGGTCCCGAATATTCTGTAATAACTCTCACCAGGACGAAGCAATCTGAACCAAGCAACGTACAATGTGCTCCTCAAGATATGGAGCTTCGAACAAGCCGGCGAGGTAGGTGCCGGACAGCCGTCGCGGCGTTTAACCTCCGTTTGCAACTTCCGGGTGCATACCCCGCACCCCTTCATATGTCTGGCAGTAAACGGAGATCACTTCCAGCATCGCATGTAATGCAATCAAGTGCACACATGTCAAGATATGTAGTGTGTTTTTTTGGTTCAGATTGCTTCATCCTAACGGGAGTTACAGCAGAATATTCAGGGCCTCTTTTGAGTGAATCTCCCTGTATATATATCAGCATCATATATCATCAACATATCAACAGAGCCAAACAGAATGTGGCCTTACATTGCTGAAGCGATGACGAGCCAGCAGGAAAATCGGGGTGAAGCCATTCTTGACACATACAGTCTTAGATTGTTTCCTAAAAGACTGGCTGGCTGGGGCTCAATATAATCCTTTGTTCCTGTAAACTCATTCACGGTGGTCCGTTGTATTTAGACCACAGTAATGACCCTGTTGGGGTTTGTGCTCTGGGTTCTTTGTGAATAAAGCGTTAATATAGGAAACAATGAACGTTCCATTTAGATGCCTGGGGTTTACAGGCCTCTAGTCTTAAATGACCTCTCTCTGGGCAGCGCATGGACTCTGTAGGAGTGAATTAAACACTGGCCAATTGCATATGTCAGGCTGAGTGTTTATGCAGCTTGGCGCACCCAGTACAGCTTTTAAGTGTATTAAAAAATGCATTTTTTCTTATATGTAGTGCTGGAGTGGTGGATTGAATGGGGTCAGGTGTGTCTTGTGGAGGATCCGTTCACTCAGACCACCTGCAGAAGTGGTCAGGGACCAAGAATGACCCGTGACTATTACAGCTAGGCCTTCAATTTGGGCTTCGCCTGTCAAAACTCCACCAAAAATGAGGAAAAAAGCACCTCTAGGATTATTCTAATTCCTGCTAGCACCCCTACGGGACTCTAGTAGTATTTTAGCCCTAAGCTTAAAGCGATTCACCTGAACATTTTTAGGCTCTTCTAGATTAAACACAGACATTTGAAGCTTGTAAATAACATTTCATATTTTATGTGAAGCTTGTAACAGATATCATACTTTGTAGCAGTTCAGTAAAGAGTCCTGGCATAGATCTGTGTTCAAAACTGACTGAAACCTGGTTAGACTATGGCTCATATTCACAGTCAGGGATGTATCTAGAGCCTCCAGAAGGCCTACAGTGGCAAAATAGGTCCCACCCATTTAAAAATCAATGCAGGATTGGTTGATGCCACTGTCAGTTCCTAGATATGTTAGTTTATCTGACACATTAGGCCTTCTGTTCACCTCCTGAAGGCCTGACCAATAGGATACTTGGCTGTATCTGCCTAGATACCATGGAGAAAAAAATCTTGACTGGATTATTATCTTGTTGGGCGTTTTTTCGCAATGGTTTCCCAACAGCAGCTTGTAGCTACAGTGCTAAAACTTAAAAAGCAAACTTGAGATGCCAAACATTTGGGCTAAGGAAGAAAACTGGGTAAAATTAGCTTTAAGTATTATTATTAAAATACACCAATCAGGCATAACATTATGTCCATTTTATCAGCTCCACTTACTATATAGGTGCACTTTGTAGTTCTACAGTTACAGACTGTACTTTGTTAGCCCCCTTTTACCCTGTTCTTCAGTGGTCAGGACCCCCATGGACCCTCACAGAGCAGGTACTATTTGGGTGGTGGATCATTCTCAGCACTGCAGTAACACTGACGTGGTGGTGGTGTGTTAGTGTGTGTTGCGCTGGTCTGAGTGGATCAGACACAGCAGTGCTGCTGGAGTTTTTAAACACTGTGTCCACTCACTGTCCACTCTATTAGACTCTCCTACCTTGTCGGTCCACCTTGTAGATGTAAAGTCAGAGACGATAGCTCATCTGCTGCTGCACAGTTTGTGTTGGTCATCCTCTAGTCCTTCATCAGTGGTCACAGGACGCTGCCCACAGGACGCTGTTGGCTGGATATTTTTGGTTGGTGGACTATTCTCAGTCCAGCAGCGACACTGAGGTGTTTAAAAACTCCAGCAGCACTGCTGTGTCTGATCCACTCAGACCAGCACAACACACACTAACACACCACCACGTCAGTGTTACAGCAGTGCTGAGAATGATCCACCACCCAAATAGTACCTGCTCTGTGAGGGTCCATGGGGGTCCTGACCACTGAAGAACAGGGTAAAAGGGGGCTAACAAAGTATCAGAGAAACAGATGGACTACAGTCTGTAACTGTAGAACTACAAAGTGCACCTATATAGTAAGTGGAGCTGATAAGATGGACAATGAGAGTAGAAACAAGGAGGTGGTCAGAATGTTATGCCTGATCGGTGTATATATTGCATTATTATTGTAGTGTTTTTCTCGCAGATTAAACTTTAGGACGTGGGGTATTTATTGGGAAATGCAGCTTGCAAAAGTAATTCTGAAGTTACTGTAAGTGAAATTGTGGGGGTTAAATGTTTGTGGGTCCTCAGGGAAATGTGGAAATAGCAGTAATATGACTCATATAACTGTTCCAATTTTTTTTTTTTAGTTCTTTTCCCAAACTGTTGCAACACATTGAGTTTAGAGTCACACTTTATGCAGTCATCAGCCAAATGAGCCATGAGTAACACCCAAATTTGAAAAAGATTTTTTTAAAAAAAAAAGTACCACTACCAGTTTTTTCAACCTTGATGTTGCGTTTCTTCACTTTTCATTTCTTTTGATTGTTAATCTTGGCAAAAACTTAATGCAAGTGCAATGAAAATAATACCTTATTCTTCTCGGATGATTGTGTAATCCAGTATTTCAGAAGGTGATGGTTCATACTTGTCCCTCTCTCTCTCTCCAGGTCGATCTACATGCTGTTTGAGAAGGAGGTGGAGGTGAAAGGTATCCCAGCGTACCGGTACACCCCCCCACGCGAAGTACTGGCCAGCGCAAACAACAATCCGGAGAACGAAGGCTTCTGCCTCGACCAGAAGAAGTGCCTGGATGATGGAGTGCTAAACGTGGCAGTATGTCGCAAAGGTACAGCTCAGGTCACATAATTCATCATCGAATACTACCAGCACTCCTACTGCTGCCACTACTTCTACTACTGCTGCTACTACAAGTACTACTGCTGCTTCAACTGCTAAAATTGTTACTACTACAGCCAGCTCTGCTGCTAATAGTGCTACAACACTTACTACTACTGCTAGAACTGTTACTACTACAGTACTACTGCTACTCCTGCCACTACTGGTACTACAAGTACTACTGCTGCTACAGCTGCTAAAATTGTTACTACTACAGCCAGCTCTGCTGCTAATAGTGCTACAACACTTACTACTACTGCTAGAAATGTTACTACTACAGTACTACTGCTTCTACTACTCTTACCACTACTGCTACTACAAGTACTACTGCTGCTACAACTGCTAGAACTGTTACTATAACAGCCACCACTGCTGCTACTACGGCTACAACATTTACTACTACTGCTAGAACTGTTACTACTGCAGTACTACTGCTACTCCTACCACTACTGCTACCACCGTACTACTGCTACTCCTACCATTACTGCTACTACAAGTACTACTGCTGCTATAACTACTATAACTGTTACTACCACAGGTGCCACTGCTGTTACTGGTGCTGCAACTTTTACTACTACTTCTAGAATTGTTACTACTACCACTGCTACTGCTGCTGCAACTTTTGTCTACTACTACTCTTACCACTACTGCTACTACAAGTAGTACTTCTGCTACAACTGCTAGAACTGTTACCACTACAGCAGCCACACTGCTACTAGTGCTGCACAACTTTTACTACTACTGCTAAAACTGCTACTACTACAGTACTGCTGCTACTACTACCTCATCAGTACTGCTACTACAAGTACTACTGCTGCTACTAACTGCTGCTATTACTGCTACAACTGTTATCACTACAACTGTCACCGCTGCTACTAGTGCTACAACCTTTACTGCTACTGCTAAAACTGCTACTCCTACCACTACTGCTACTACAAGTACTACTGCTGCTCCATTGCTAGAACTGTTACTACTGCCACCACCACTGCTGCTACTAGTGCTACACAACTTTTACTACTACTGCTAAAACTGTTACTACTATACTACTACAAGTACTACTACTCCATCTGCTCCTGCTGCTACTCGTGCTCCAACCTTTGCTGCTACTTTACGAACTACTACTACTTTTCCTACCACTACTGCTACTACAGGTACTACTGCTGCTAGAACTGTTACTACAACAAACAACAGCTGATATTAGTGCTACGACTTTTACTACTGTTTCTAGAACTGCTATTACTACAGTACTACTGCTATTAGTACTCTTACTACAACTACTACTGCTGATATTATTGCTACATTTGCCACTACTACTAGTACTGCTGCTAATGTTCCTACTACAAGTACTGCTGCTAATGCAACTACTGCTATTGCTACATCTTCTACTACGACTGCTACTGCTAGTATTTGCACTACTAGTACTACTGCTACTATTACTACAGCTACAACTGCTGGTACTGCTACTTCTACTCCTACTCTTACTGCTGCAACAGTTATTGCTACTACTATGGCAAATATTGGTACTACCACTGCTACTGCTAATACAACTACTACAACTCCTACTGCTGCTCCTACTAGCCCTACTACAACTCCTACTGCTGCTCCTACTAGCCCTACTACAACTACTACTACTGCTACTGCTATTCCTACTACAACTACTGCTTCTGCTACAAGTACTGCTACTAATATGGCAACAACTGCTCCTACTACTACTACTAATATAACAACTACTGCTACTACAACTACTACTCCTACTGCTGCTCCTCCAACTCTACTACAACTACTACTGCTGCTACAAGTACAACTTCTAATACAGCAACTACTGGTACTACTACTTTTGCCAATATAACAACTATTGCTACTACTACCACAACGACTACTGCTATTCCTGCTACCACTACTGCCACTAACATAACAGCTACTGCTGCTCTTACAATTACTAGTAATGCTAACACAACTACTACATCTACAACCAACTTCTACTGCTGCAATTACTACAGCTAATACTACTCATTTATACTGCTACTTCTGCTACCTGTTAGCTCAGACTGATGACAGGCCTAACATACCTTAGATGCCCTCAGCTCTATGGTCAGCGTTTGGCTACAGAATGATGTTTATTGTTTTCCTTTTCTGCTGAGCCTCCTTAGACATGGACGGCGCAGCGTGCGCTGCCTGATATCTTTCAGAGCAATTAACAACATTTGAGTGGACCATTAACCTGCAGTCTGTGACCTCCGCGGCCGTAGTTATTTACTACACTCACAGCAGATCTGCTACTGGGTGTGTGGTGCAGGTCGCTGGTCATGGTAGCACATCAGATAAACTCCAGAAATCTGCCAGTTGTGCAGTCTGGTGTGAAAAAACACCTGCATTATTCATGTTGTGTCACTTACAAAGCTTGTTTACATTCACTATGTAATGTTGAGTTAAACTGCTGCGATGCAGAGCTGGAATGTTTTGTTGTAGCCAATAGAAACTAGGCCAACCAGAAATAGGACTGTCACGCTCATGATATTTTAGCTGACAAATTCATTTCCATGTAAAATATTGCGATTTGCGATCTCTTTTTTGTTTGTTTTAAGTAGCTGTTAATGTACAAGATTAAAAGTGGTGGAATTTTCAGATTAGCAGTCTTGCCTTCTAGCTACCGATACTTAGTAGCTCCCAACTGACCACAGGAACAACTCAAGCTTTAATAAACAAATGTTACTTACTGCCGTCCTCTGAAGGTGATATTGAAAACATCAAATAAACAAACATTACTGTGGCCGGTTAGTGGAAGCACAAGGTCAGATTTTCTAATAAACTGGCCAGTTAGTGGAAGCACAAGGTCAGATTTTCTAATAAACTGGCCAGTGAGTGGAAGCACAAGGTCAGATTTTCTAATAAACTGGCCAGTGAGTGGAAGCACAAGGTCAGTGTTTCTAATAAACTGGCCAGTGAGTGGAAGCACAAGGTCAGTGTTTCTAATAAACTGGCCAGTTAGTGGAAGCACAAGGTCAGTGTTTCTAATAAAGTGGCCAGTGAGTGGAAGCATAAGGTGAGTGTTTCTAATAAAGTGGCCAGTGAGTGGAAGCACAAGGTCAGTGTTTCTAATAAACTGGCCAGTTAGTGGAAGCACAAGGTCAGTGTTTCTAATAAAGTGGCCAGTGAGTGGAAGCATAAGGTGAGTGTTTCTAATAAAGTGGCCAGTGAGTGGAAGCATAAGGTGAGTGTTTCTAATAAAGTGGCCAGTGAGTGGAAGCATAAGGTGAGTGTTTCTAATAAAGTGGCCAGTGAGTGAAGCACAAGGTGAGTGTTTCTAATAAAGTGGCCAGTGAGTGGAAGCACAAGGTGGGTGTTTCTAATAAAATGGCCAGTTAGTGGACGCACAAGGTGGGTGTTTCTAATAAAGTGGCCAGTAAGTGAAAGTACAAGGTTGGTGTTTCTATTAAAGTGGCCAGTTAGTAGAAGCAGAAAGTCAGTGTTGCTAATAAAGTGGCCAGTGTTAGGTTATGCAGCTTGAATGATTTATTTGTATCTAAGATAGTGTTAATTACTCTCCCCTGAGAGCTGATACATGTGAATCTCTCTCTCTCTCTCTCTCTCTCTCTCTCTCTCTCTCTCTGTGTGTACACCCTCTAAACCTCGTCACCTGACACAGTAGTCCGGGCACATTTCTAATCTCCCACCTGCTGTGTGTGTGTGTGTGTTCCCATGTGCTAAGTTGTGACCTCAGAGTGTCATTAGCAGTGACCTCTCACAGGGCTTCTGTTAACCATTAGTGATCTCGTGCTGTTTAAGCTCCACACAGAGGCAGTGAAACTTACAATAAAGCTGAAAATGTCTTTCTGGAGTCAAAGTGAAAGTGACTGAAATTCCTCTAAAATGTGGAAAGAGTTTAATTTTAACTTCACTTCCCCACACTAGATGTAAAGTTAAATACATTAACCCTCTGTGGTCGGAGATCATCCTTTAAAGTCTCTTCATATAACATAATCCTCATGTTTCATATCTAAATGCTCCGTTATCTTCATCACTACTTTCCAAAACCTCTGCAGCAGCTTCAGCAGCTGTAAACTCTCAGCCCCTCTTCATAGGCTCATAACTCCGGAGATGAGTCTTGTATGATCTCGAGATAAGATGGAATGAAAAGGGTGACTCTACAGATTCAAGAAGTGTTTGAACTGGATTTCTGAGCTGGATCATCACAAAGATACAGACACAGATATAGAGACAGAGAATTGACGTACAGGAGGGTTCATGGACCCTGGAGGGTTAAACAAAAGGATGAGGTCCTAGGCGCCAACTACGGGGGAACGCTGGGTCGTTGCATCCCACCACACATCTATTTATATGTCATATTCTGTATGCATATATATATGTATGCATATATATATATATATATATATATATATATATATATATATATATATATGTATGAAATCCAAACAAACGCACACACACACATACATGCAGGCCTCTGTGTGATGATTGTGTCTCTGACTGGGTGTGTGTGTTAATCACACCAGCTGTGTTGTGGGGATACGGTGTAAACAGTTCTTTAACTGACATCCTGTCTACACTCATTTCTGTCCCCCCCTTTCTTTTCTACTTTTCTACTCTCTCTCTCTCTCTCTCTCTCTCTCTCTCTCTCTCTCTCTCTCTCTCTCTTTCTCTCTCTCTCTCTCTACTTCTTTTCCTTGTGCCTCGCTGTAGCACTGTGAGTTCCCCTGCTGTGGGACTAATAAAGGATTATCATCTCTCTGTCTGTTTTTCTCTTCTTTCTGTACTTCTTTAGTTTTTTCCTACTTTGTCTTTTCCTCTCCCTTTCCCTCTCTCTCTTTCTCTCTCTTTCTCCCACTTTATCTTCCGTAATTCTTCATCTGTCTCCCCTTCTCTGTGTTCCTTTTTACTCTCTCTTTCTGTTTCTCTTTTTCCTATTTTGTCTTTCTATCACTCTCTTTC